TACAGGGGGAGGTGTATACAGCTATACAGGGGGAGGTGTATACAGCTATACAGGGGGAGGTGTATACAGCTATACAGGGGGAGGTGTATACAGCTATACAGGGGGAGGTGTATACAGCATGTTGCAAATTACAGACCAATACAGATTTGTTTCAAAAGCAACAATATGGAACTGATAATGCTCAATTCTTCACTGGAAGATCAACAGATCTAGCTGGTACAGCACTGTGAATTCCAAAAGTTACCAGCCAAAGGCTACTATATCTACAAGAGAGGTGGTCGAAATGTTCAATACTGTGCTATAAAAATATAATGTGAGGCTAAAGATTTTTTTTCAAAGTCTGCCAATTATTTATATAACTAATACTCAAAAGTTAAAACTTCATGCCCCTGTTTTATATACTGTCCAGTGTATTGGAGATCCCATGGCCATCATTTATGGCCAAAGAACATATGAGACCCTCTATAACCCTGGAGGCTCCTATAGATAGATCCCTTATAATCACCCCCAAAATGCCCCATCCACAACCCCTGGATCCCCTCTATTTAGAAAACTAGTTGATTGCATTTTGTTTGTTAGAATGGTTCACTGTCAAGTATCAGGTGTAATTTTGTTATCCAGCAGTTCATTAGTTGCACTTTGGTGTTATAATAGCCAGCAGATGATAATGAAAGGGAAAGGGTCCATTAAATTGCGAGGTTATATGTTATGCAGGCCATTACGTACGTACAATATACATACTTGCCAATTTTTATTTTATTTTCATGGAAAGATTCTGCATGCTCAAAATTAAAACCCGAGAAAAATGTGTGTATATACCCCCTAGAGATACAATAACCCCTTTAAATGACATATTTTGAGCTTTTCATTAGACCTTATTAGAATAAAGGAAGAGTTTAGTAAATTCACTGGTTGCAAATGCTAAAATTACCGGTAAGGGTGTCCCCTGCTAAATAGGGAGAGATGGCAAATATGCATGTAATTACTGCCAATACCTTTAATTCACCCCTCCTTCAGCATAACAATTATCCCAAGTTGCAACTGGTCCTAACACCAGATCTTTTGATAAATACTTTCCAGATGTCTGGTGTTGTGGGGCCCATATACATATATACAGTACACAGATTTGTCTATGTCTGGAGTCAGCTAGGGACAGAGGAAACTGGGGCTACATCGATCACAATAGATTGTCCTGGTTAGCTCAGGTAATGGCCAATTCAAAATGACCTAATGAGGACAATTTATTACACAGATGACTACTACATCTGAAACTGGACCCTAGCTGACCTGCACTATTTCTGGTCATCAATGGTACTGACTGGACCAAGATTTAAGAGCTATACACACATGTACAGTCACCCTATACTCTATCCTAGCTCCCCGGCCAACATGTATACAGTACAGGTAAAATGTGGACACTTTTGATTTGTAACATTTTCAGTGAATTCAGATCTGTACACAAAGGTAAAACTCTTAAGATAATTTTACATACATTGTATACATATTATATACATGCATTGTAACAGATAGTTGTATAAAAAGGTAACATTTTACCACCACTGTGATGTGCGCATTGTGCAGACACACTGGTAAACTTTATACGAAGTGTATACGAGATACATGCACTTTCATGGTCGACAGTGACAAACACCTCACCTCATTCACCCTTGAAACTTTATAATGAACTATTCCAACCTTTGAATTGGAAGAGTTCAAAAGTGTTTTCAGGGGTACATGAGCGAATCTATTAAAATTTACCTCACGCCAATTTTTTCCCCAATATTGAATAAAACTCATATCACCAACTTTAAAAATGTGTTACATTCCGTACATGCAGCTGAGGTGATGTGATTGGTCGATTGATTGGCTAATTCTGCTAAAAAAGGACCATGCACTAGAGTAATGAATGGATTTCCGATTGATATTTTACGTCTGACGGAATTGAAACCATTGAAAATGCAAAATTCATTTCTGACTTCCCGTGCACCAATTGGTGAGATCTCAGCTGATCAGGATGTGAAATAAATCACCCGGAAAGATAAAACAGAATTTTTTTTCGTGGCTTTGAACGTCAATAATGTTATTGTATGCAGTGATTTTGTACAATGTACGAATATGGATTTCAATCCTTCAGTGGTGTAGATGCATGTTTGTACCTCAAAACAAAAGGTTTTTAAAAGCAAAGTGTACTTACCTGGATTCTTAGTAGATCACTCCATCTAGGTCCCTGTCTCTAATCAATACCTTAGATTGATTTTTACCTGTTGTTACCTGTAATATCAAGTAAAAGAGAATCTTACAGCTCGTCTCCTTTGTTGACGTGTATAATTATATACACTTGGGTAGGACACATAAAACATTTAAGCTTGTTAATATAAACAGGCCGTCAACACAGAAGTGTATTTTGTACCTTTCAGATATTGATAGACAGGTTTCGGTTCTTACAAGTTTTGTCAACTTAACCATCTAAATGATGCAAATATTTCATCTGGTAATATTTTCAAAAATATTGAAATTCAAATTAAATTTTATCTTGAATATAAAGTCAATTATAACATGAAAACACAAAAATATTGTTAAATTTCAAATAATTTGCAATCTATTTTTTTAAATCAATAAAATAAATTGTGGTATTTTTTCATTTTTAAGCTTACAATTCTTTCACATCTGTACAAAGTTAGACATATTGATATCATAATGAATATACATATCTAAATATACCAGACTCATCCCATATATATATATTTCAAGTCAGACACAATTCAATGTGCATTCATTTCAATATGAACTACACCATAAAACATTATTAAAGCAAGTCAATTATTTATGCATGGTATAATGTCAAGATCATCTCAATTATCCACAAACACTACATACTTTACAACGTCGACCCGTCGTAAAGACAACAGCGCAGGTATTTACATATTTGCATTGAACGTGGGTATACCTCCATTAGAGGTGATACGATTCGTGGCTCATGAATCTAATCAATATCCGATTCATTTAGCGGTGTTTTTCCTGAAGAGTATTGATGTCGGTATAATCATCTGTCTACAGAGTACAGACTAAAGCTATTCGTAGCTTAATAAACTGAATCTCGGATATGTATATCAATACAACGATGACTTACATGTAATCAGGAATATTTGTACGGTTTTGATCTCAAAGTTATTAACTTCTGGGCCAGGTCATAATTAATTTCGTAAAGGTTTTAATGCAAAAAAAAATCTAAATATATATCTTAAAATTGATTTGTTTTGTTATGAACACATTCATAATGGATAAAATAATATAATATGAAAAATATTTTTAAGGCCACAAAATGTTATGCCATGCACACAAAGGGCCTTCATATCTTTTGCATTACTAATTTTATTTCAAATGAACTTTGTTTCTGAACCATTTTTTAAAAAATGTTGCATATTAAAGAACCATTTAAGCCTCAAAAGCATGGGCCTACATTGTTTGTAAATAAATACATTAAGTCATAAATATTCAGATGTTATTAGATGATGTTGTAAATTGTTAAATTAGCTGTTAACTCATTCCCCCCAACCCCCCAAACATTTTTTAATAATGAACTATTCCAACCTTGGAATTGGAAGAGTCTAAATGTGTCCTCAGGGGTAAATCATGCATCTATACTGTACATACATTTATACCTTCACTTAAGTTAATACCTTTTTCAATTTTGTATTACATGGATAAAAATAACAAACGTGTGTAGGAATAAATTTTCAAAACAATGTCTGTACAATGTCTGTACAATGTCTGTACTATGTCTGTACAATGTCTTAACTATGTCTGTACAATGTCTTAACTATGTCTGTACAATGTCTTTACTATGTCTGTACAATGTCTGTACAATGTCTTTACTATGACTGTACAATGTCTGTACTATGTCTGTACTATGTCTGTTCAATGTCTGTGTAATGTCTGTACAATGTCTGTACAATGTCTGTACTATGTCTGTTCAATGTCTGTACTATGTCTGTACAATGTCTGTACAATGTCTATACTATGTCTGTACAATGTCTGTACTATGTCTGTACTATGTCTGTTCAATGTCTGTGTAATGGCTGTACAATGTCTGTACAATGTCTGTACTATGTACATGTCTGCACAATGTCTGTACAATGTCTGTACTATGTCTGTTCAATGTCTGTACTATGTCTGTACTATGTCTGTACAATGTCTGAACTATGTCTGTACAATGTCTGTACAATGTCTTTACTATGTCTGTACTATGTCTGTACAATGTATGTGTACTAAGTCTGTACAATGTCTGTACAATGTTTGTACAATGTCTGTACTATGTCTGTACAATGTTTGTACTATGTCTGTGTAATGTCTGTACTATGTCTACAATGTCTGTACTATGTCTGTACTATGTCTGTATAATGTCTGTACTATGTCTGTACAATGTCTGTACTATGTCTGTACTATGTCTGTTCAATGTCTGTGTAATGGCTGTACAATGTCTGTACAATGTCTGTACTATGTACATGTCTGTACTATGTACATGTCTGTACAATGTCTGTACTATGTCTGTACTATGTCTGTATAATGTCTGTACTATGTCTGTACAATGTCTGTACTATGTCTGTGTACTATGTCTGTACTAGGTCTGTGCAATGTCTGTGTACTAAGTCTGTACAATGTCTGTACAATGCCTGTACTATGTATGTGTACAATGTCTGTACAATGTCTATACTATGTCTGTACAATGTCTGTATAATGTCTGTACAATGTCTATACTATGTCTGTACAATGTCTGTACAATGTCTGTACTATGTCTATACTATGTCTGTACAATGTCTGTACAATGTCTGTACTATGTCTGTACAATGTCTGTACAATGTCTGTACAATGTCTGTACTATGTCTGTACAATGTCTGTACAATGTCTGTACTATGTCTGTACAATGTCTGTACAATGTCTGTACAATGTCTGTACTATGTCTGTACAATGTCTGTACAATGTCTGTACTATGTCTGTGTACTATGTCTGTGTACTATGTCTGTACAATGTCTGTACTATGTCTGTACTATGTCTGTACAATGTCTGTATAATGTCTGTACAATGTCTGTACAATGCATATTAAGGACCTTTCTAAAGAAATACATGTAATACTTTCCTAAAGAAAAGGCAGAAAATTTGACTTTCAGGATGATGAAAGAAAAATAAACCTACCTTTTTTTTATGAAAAGTGGTCTTCTCCGAAATTGACACCACATGAAATTAAATTACATGTCTACACACATGTACCAGCCCATGACATTACTACTACACTTGTGTTCTAGTTACAAGTGACTGTGTCNCCCCCCACTCCCCAGCATCTTATGTCTCATACAAACACCATATGGCTCAACTTTAACCAAACAATTTTCTCCCCAATTGATAACAAGTGGCCTTGTCTTACATTTTTGTATACTGCATATGAGCTGCTACATGTAGTTTGTATACATTAACTGGACATGTGGGTACCTGGGTTCAGATACTAAAAAGCTCACTTCAATATTATAATTTCTTTTTGCAAAACTGTGTTTCAATAGAGTTTTTTTTTTTAATTTTTTAAATTTGTTTTAACAGAAAATGAAAATGTAATCACAGTATTTGATGAAACTTTTGTGGCAAAATATCAAACACCTTTGACCTGCTGTACCTCCCACTGCGTGATCGTAAGACACAACTATCCGTAATTTTGGGGCCCAACAGATATCAGGAATTTACTTCAGGACATTGAAAAGAAAAAAAAAAAATTCAAGCAATTGTAACAGTCGAGATATATATTTGTCATTTTCTTTTCGTACTGTATATACTTCCTGGATTCTCTTGGTTCATCTAGCTACATTTGTTGGTCCTCTTTGTACATGTGTAGCCCTGCATGATGTTATTGTGTTGATGGGTGGTATCATATACATTTGTACTATATATATATATGCATAATAACATGACAACAGACTAAAAAGTACATTGTGTCTACCGTTATACATGTAACTGGATAGTACTAGTGTTAGACTAAGTATGAGGGTCCTATATATATATATATATATATATATATATAGTAAATAGTGTGTAAGAGAGAATATGGTTTCATGGCCATGGTTGGTCTAATAATCAATAAGTAATATAAATAGCTATAGATGAGTTAAGTTACTATTGTAAATCTGTCAGGTAAATGAAAAGCTAAAAGAGACCTAATTATTTTAACAATAGTTATGTATATATTTATCCCTCATTTTACCCCACCTGTGCAAGCTTCACTACCGTATTCTAACTAAAAAGGGTGCTTTTGAATTCATTTACAGTAAAACTGTATCAATTTCTTATTTATTTTGATAATTTCATAAAAGTTAATTTAATCCATCGCACACTCATGATAATCATATGAAATACAACATCTCTGTTTATGTCATAAAACAAAAGAAATCCTAATGCTGCGATCGTTTAAATTTACAAGCAAGTACTTCTGTACGCCAGGGTTCTCCACTAGGGCCTATACATTTTTAATCATCCTTTTATACAAATTGTAAATCTCAATAATGGCCCACAGGTTTACATCTTTTATGAGAAGAAAATGTTATTATACCTCTGATGGAGTGAACGCTGAGCATGTTCATTAAGATAATAAAATATTCATGACCACCGTCTGATTTGTTACATGCCTGCAGATATATACTGTCTTGTAGTTGTATAGTATTGAACTACAGTGTATAGGGATTTATTCAGCTTCTGGTGAAGTTACTTTACTTTCATTTTGTAAAAATTGGAAAAAAAGTTCTCAAAGAAAGGACCAAAATATGGAAACATTGCTGCAACGTTGATTGGAAGAAAACACAAATTTGATGCAATCAAAATTAAATAGAGGATGTCACACTCGATGAATATCAAAATATTAACCTTCAATTTATGTAACTCGATGAAAGATAACTTAAATTATTCAGGAAAACCAAGTATGTTCTGGTGGGTTTTTTTTTATAGACAATGCCTTCCTTAAACTTTTTTTGTTTGTTTTTTACTGTAAAGGAGGTTCTGAGAGAAACCCTGGTTAGAGGTTGGGGTGAGGAGGATGGGTGGAAAACAAAGCTCCCCTGAAGGTGAAACTTTTTAACTAAATGCCGAGCTTTACAACATGTTTTTAGCAGTGTAGGAAGATGTTAATTCTCATTTATTAATCATTATAAATGTGTTATGAAATAAAAAGTACTTAAACTAATATATAAATAATATTTGCCCCCCTTCTCTACCACCCTGGACCCCCACCCCACCCCACCCTATCCACCTATATCTGTGCCTCTTCTCAACAAAGGTTTATCAGAATTGAAGTGTGTTATTTGATATTGTCTGCAGTGTCAATTCATCTTTTATAAAAGGTTTTCTGATAAAAACAAACTGTTAGAAATGTTTTCCATCACCAATGACCTCTAGTAAATGAAGTTAAGACATGGGAAATTGTACTTAAAATGAAATTTAATACGTTTGTATAAACCTTATGTTTTAAAGATATATTTTTCCTACCCTTTTAACTACATAGAGATGCCTTCTATAAATTCAATGACCTTGTCCAAAGTCACCTTCAATTTGTATATATATGTAGATGAACCTACGTTAATACGCTGAATGGTTCAAATTCACTTTTCTTGTCGGGGTAAATAAAAACATGTACTGTAGTTTACATTGTATGACATCTTAAAAACTAATTCATGTTATAATTCATTGAATAAAGGGATGTTATATCGCAAAAGTATACAGTTGTACTTTACAGTTAAATGTTGAAAAATCATAATTTGATAATTAACACAGCTAGCTGAAAGGCCAAAGTTTATTACCCTATGTTATTTTAACATTTTTTGATTGACTATATTATAACTCAGGGAGAATCCTGGAGTTTGAGAGCAGTGGATACATTTCAGCAATTTTTAGTCAATATCAAAATTAAGAGGGGCCATTCTATGTAAAATTAATAGAAAATTAAATTGAAACATGGAGGAGTCAATTCCAGTTTTGAGGGTCAATGGCGGCCATCCAGGTTTATCCCCAGTTATATAAAAATTGAAAAAATCTTATTCTTTTCTACCATGTCAAATTGATGAGGATATATATACATCTTTGCCGTACTTATAAGGGGTATAAATGGTATAATGTCTACATGATGATAATACTTCATTACAGAGCAGCTAGGCCCCAATTTGATAAAGTGAGGAATAATTTCCAAAAATGGTCAAAATTCAAAATAATTGTATCGGTAAATTTCTTGACAGATATTTCTTTGACATGATATACATATGTTTGTATATCTGTTTCATCAATGATGTATCATGATTTGTAGATAATTATGGCAGTAATTATAGTAAAACTTTAAAAGCACTTCTTATTAGTAACCTATTAAAATGTAAATGTATATATCTTTGTATGCACTTTAAAACATATATACGATGTGTATATATATACATGTACCATATAGACACAAATCACTTATAAACAGACTAAATGGCCCTTAGGGATAACATTACAGCCCTATGTCACTCCCACCGAGACACATTTTTCAACACCAGAGTGAGGCTCAGCTCTCTTGTACCAATCAATGGAATTCCTCGTTATTGTCTGGCGGGGATCACATGTTGGCTTTACAGCTTCACGGTCAGGCAATCGTTATTATGGGAGGGCTGTGGGCGACAACCTCTATACATGATAATTGTCAGTGGTAATTACTCCGGAATGTCCATGCCTCCGTGTGTGTATGTATATATACATGGACAGTAAAACGTCTTACACCCAAGTCCATTAAAATAATATTAGCACTGACCTATAGCTTAAATATGCTGATTTTGCTAATTCCATTCTTGGATCATAAAAAAAATAATGTTTCCGCTCAAAAAATTCAATGGTTTAATATTTTTTTATCGTTTAATTATGTAATGAGATTCATATTAAGATGAAATGTGTTTTCTTTCTACAGTTGTGTATTTTAACATACATACAGATCTTTACATTATTTAAATAATTTATGATGCAAACTTTTACATCATAACACATAACAGGTATGTAACCGGTTTTTTTCTCAACCATTATTTAATTACTTTAAAAGAATATTCCAACTATGTATCACGTACTGCTCCAACCATTCAGTCGTATTACTGCTATACTTGGCTGTAAAAATCTAGGGGAAAATACTGATTTATTATAAATATACATGTTCTGTTTATGAATACAGAATGTATATATATTGATGCTTTTGTACAATTTAAGCAGGTCCAGTACACTCTGCCTATTGAGCTATATAGCTGTAAAGACCTACATGTATATAGCTATATTCACCTATTAATTATGGCTATATTGAGCTATATTTTCTCAGATTTCAATTTTCATTGAATTAAAGCAAAGTTGCATAAAAACAATAAGGTTTATGGTAATGTTGACTAAAAATAACATACATTTAGATGTTTATTTTCATTTTTCATAAATGGTAAATTTTCGATTGTTTTACATCATTATTTTTTAAAAAGAATACTTATATTTAAAGTCTTTTGTTATCAACCTTATGATAAAATCTTTTAAAAGCGAATTGTTTCGTTTCCCTTAAAAAAGAAAAGCACATGAAAATAGCTCAAAAGACCTATTTCAGATAGGTCAATAGAGCTATTATAGGTCTTTATACAGCTAAATCGGTAGAGTGTACTGGACCTGTTAAGGTCAAAACAAAAATGCTCTTTTTCTAATTTTATAGGAACTGGTTGACAAGGGATTTACATAAAGAAATGGGTCAAATTATCATCATATCGAAATATGGTGTATTTTTTCTCCATGGATTAATGGGGTAAAAGACATTGACTATATTTATAAACATGTATTTAAGAATATATTTATGTCCATGGAAAATATTTCGGAACATTTCAATCACAACACAGACTTAGATCTTTAATCTAATTCCGTGATTACAATAACTTTTTTCATGACATTCTTTTGTTAACCATTTTGTAATATCACAGACTAATACCATGGTAATATGTTTCTGATGTAGCTAGCACACATTTCACAGAGACATTTCAATATTTTCACTAATTAAGATATTTATAATGTAAATGTATATATTTATTTATGAGTTAAATTTTCACTAATTAAGATATCTATAATGTAAATGTATATATCTATTTTGATCAACTCATATGTGTATAATGAGATTATTATAGTAAATGATTAACACGTGCCCAAGGAATCAATAACCAGTTTCACTAAGATAATCCATTAGCACTACTCCTAAATGTTGGTATGTTTTCATACCGTACACAGAAAACATCGACTTTTCTAAAACGGACTATACTACAATAATCCCACAGGTATGAGTGTCCTTTAAAATATCTCACGAATTCCATCATGCAGATATCAATTTAAATTGAAATAAATAAGGTATTTGGTGCCTGAAGCATACTGTATGTGAGGCATAGTCGTGTAATTGCTGTTTTGTCTGCTGGTAGATTTTATAAAACCTCCCAATAAGCCAATGTCGGGTTCATTGACGAAAATGTGGCCTACTTAGTCGGTATAGGCCTCTAGGTATGGTTCCTACCCGGCCCGCGGAATACACACAGGTGTGTGGACATACACAGCCGTGCATCACTTACCGATTTAAAAGCATATTATCCGCCGAGTTTTTAATCCATATGCACTATCGACAGGTGTGAAGTTTTGGGAAATTGTCCTCGGTAACACTTCCGAACTAATGCAAAAAGTTTTACTGTCAGTTGTGTCCTGTTCGTTACAACCACTCCGGCGACACTGATCAGGTAGAGCCAAACCCACACTCCGTAACGGCGTCTCTAATCCAAGTTATTTCAATAAATAAACCATGATGTTTTTGTTTATTTTTTTCACGTCATCAAATTGATTTAACGTTTCCTTTTAATTGTATATGATCATTGAATGTTAAATATATCGTTGACAATCAATACACGGTGAAATTTGGTTAGCATTTGCTGTTTAGTTTGGGTATGTAGACTAAACGGAACAGCCAGGTAAACTTCCGTACAGGTAGCCGCCCTTTGATCATGCTGATACTGCATTTTGGAGTTTTGTCACTGAATTAAGATAACATCTGAAACGATAAGAGTGGGTTTTTTTTTACTTCCGACATAAAATTCTGGAATAATTTATTATTACATTAATTTATTTGAATAGTGCATCAGAGCCGTATATATACTACTTTATACGTCTCTGAGTGCATCTAGTGTGACATTTAACATGAAACACTAGTAAAGCAAGGAAATGCATCAAAAGCTGCTGGACACAATTTGGTGAAAACGTCATCTTCTGAGAGAGAAGATCCAGTACACGATTTACGTAGAATATAACTTATATATACCTCCCGCATTTTTGTTTTATAAATATTTCACTTTATAATGCACTTTTGAATAAAATGCCAACTGTATAAAATCCTTCAAATATGCAGCAGCCAGTCTTTGGAATAATCTTCCTGAAAACTTTAGGACCACAACAAATTACGGCCATTTTAAATCTCTTATATCCTCCTGGAATGGAACCAAATGTAAATGTGCAGCCTGCAAATAATAAATATCTCACCTTACTCTAACCTCATCTGCTCTTTATCCAGCCTACAGTGTCTCCATTGAAAACTTTTAACTTCAAAGCCTTGTTTTAACTTAATTTATTTTAATTCAATTAATTTGATATATGGTATATGGACTTTGAGTGTTGTGAAACACTTAACCTATTATCAAAGTAATATATGAACAATATCTGTGTGATATAAGTAATTGATGTGTTAATGTATTGTATTTTATGTACCATGTATCTGTATGTGTATATGTATATGTCGGTCAAAAGCTCTTCGGAGCTTATGTTATTTTGTTCTATACCCACCGACCCTATATAAAATTTATCTCATCTTATCTTATCTGTGTCAATTATTGTCCCTCTTTGAATATTATATCAAATGATATATGTGGTTGAAGATACTTATCAAATAATTAATTATGACCTCTCGAGTCTTCTACGAGGACTCACTTCGTTTAACGCTGGTTTTATAGTTGTAATCACATATATATATATATTTTTGTTTTATTAAATCACTTCTTCTATTTATTGATAAAGTATAGCATTATAGGAATCCCTCAATGGCAAAGCGAGTGGAACTTTTAACGGCACATTTTTTATTTTTACCACATTGTGTTTCTAATTCAACACTGATGTAGATATTGAGGCAGCAATTCTTGCGTCCACTAATATCCTTTACAAGAAATCTTATTAAAATTATTTAAAATGTATTAGGTTTTATCACAAATATATCATGGGAAAACCAATTTAATACGTTGAATGACGTAAATGACATGTGTGATTTTCTGATAACCACTATACTTCATGCCGTAGATATTTGCATACCTTCTAAATATTGAAATATATCATACATTATGTGAAAATATTGAAAAAATGCAATCATCCTTTCTANACTATACTTCATGCCGTAGATATTTGCATACCTTCTAAATATTGAAATATATCATACATTATGTGAAAATATTGAAAAAATGCAATCATCCTTTTTATCTTTTTTGTGATATTTCTAAAGCGTTCGATCGTGTGTGGCACAAGGGACTGAATGTAAAATTAGCAAACCATGGTATACGTGGGAAACTACTTGTCTGGTTAAACAACTATGTAAGTAAATGAAAACAACAGGTCTTTGTAGGAAATAGTAAATCTTCCGTTAAAGCTACAAACGCAGGCGTTCCAAAAGGTTCAGTTTTAGGCCCTTTACTTTTTATTATCTATATAAATGATATATCTGATAACCTCGAAAGTCTTTCAAAACTGTTTGCTGACGACACGTCCTTTATTATGTTCTGAACCATCCGTTTTGGCTATCGGNTCCCTTTTGGCTATCGAAACTAAAATTAACAGCGACCTAGTTAAAACTCAAAAGTGGGCAGAAAAGTGGTGTGTAAAACTTAATCCCCTAAAAACGGAAGCTTTACTCATTTCAAACATTGAACATGATCATGTGATAGATATTAAATTCAATAATGTGAGTGTTGATTTTGTAGATAATCATAAGCACCTAGGAGTTATTTTGTACGCTAATTGTAAATGGAGTAGACATACAGAAAATATATGTNACTCAAACAAACCTATTCCCATTATAGAAAAACGAACCGACTCTTTTTCGTCCGATATCCGTAGTATGCCTTCTAAAATAGTTGATATTATTAACATACTAGATGTTAACAAGGCAACAGGGCCTGACGGAATCAGTCATCGTATGTTAAATCTTGTAGCAAATTAAATTGCCATTCCTCTTTCCCTCAATTTTAACCACTCACTATTTACTGGTATTGGCCTATATCTCGATAAATGGGGAAAATTAACTCAAACAAACCTATTCCCATTATAGAAAAACGAACCGACTCTTTTTCGTCCGATATCCGTAGTATGCCTTCTAAAATAGTTGATATTATTAACATACTAGATGTTAACAAGGCAACAGGGCCTGACGGAATCAGTCATCGTATGTTAAATCTTGTAGCAAATTAAATTGCCATTCCTCTTTCCCTCAATTTTAACCACTCACTATTTACTGGTATTGGCCTATATCTCGATAAATGGGGAAAATTAACTCTAATAATCTTATTTTAAAAATTCAGTGTGGACTCTTACCAAATCATTCTTGTCCACATCAACTTGTTGAAATGTACCATTATATGCTGTTAGCATTAGAAAATCATTAGCGCATAGCTTTTACTTTGTGCGATTTTTCAAGGGCCTTCGATAGATTTTGGCATAGAGCGCTAATATACAAACTACAGCAACATGATATTTCAGACAATCTTCTTGATTGGATAACAAACTATCGTTTTGAGCGTAAGCTCTTTTGTGAAAATATAAATGCCGGTTTTCCCGTAGGTTCAGTGTTTGGCCCTCTATTTTTCCTGATTTATGGTAACGACATTTCAACCGAACTCTTCTCATGATCTCGTCTATTTGCCGATGATACATCGCTTTCATACTCATCAACAAACCTAGGAAATATTGCAAGTCAAGTAAATAAAGACCTAAAACTCTATCTAGAGAAATGGTCTAAACATTGGCTGATGTCATTCAATCCTAAAAGACCTTAAATCATAATCGTCTCTAATACAAATCTACCCTTTCAACCCAAATTTATTTTTAACGATACTTCTATCCTTTCAACAGATAAACACAAACACCTTGGAATTATGCTAAGTAGTAACGGCAAATGGAAAAAGTGGCAAAATATTTAGCAACCCTGCTGAAAATGAAATTGATATTCAGTAGAAATAACCTTTGAAAACTATGTTTTACGTACATGCATACTCTAACAAGGGTCGAATGTGAAGTGTGGGACAAATGTGGATAAATCTTGACAATATTCAGATAGACGCTGCACGAAATGTTAATAGAACATATAAACATAATGAAAGTGGCGATATCAGATTTATTCGATTTTGATTTTATATACGTGATAATTTAATAAAGATGACAGTGCAAGTTAAAAAGCTTTCAATTAAGCATTAAACTGTTTTGTATCGTATTTATGCTCTATTTGAATGACACAGCTTTGCAAGCAAACAACATAATGCGCATTATGATTTATTTGCTTGCAAAGCTGTGTCATTCAAATAGATCATAAATACTATACAAAAACAGTTCAATACTTATATTTACGTTTTCTCTGCCTCTTACGTTCTTTTTTAACTTACAATTTATATTTGAAATTTAAAATTCCCGCCTTATCTACAGTCCACACAAATTCGTTCAATAGTTGGTACAGCGTGTTGTCGCGTGCTGATTGGCAAACAAAATAGTACTTTGAAATTTTAACAAACACTTCAATTTTATTCCACAATTCAGTATCAATACAATTGCGTTTGATATTTCTATAGGGTGATTTAAGTTTATCAATAGAACTCTGAGCTGAACGTTAGATTTGAAATTGTTTCAATTTTATCCCGGAACAAATTTCGCGCATGGATGAATACAGTGAACACCGTAAATCCGACCTTGCCCTCTACGAGGGAGTTATTTTAGGAAGTTAATTTGAACTTTTCTCTTCGCTCATTTTGTGAAGAATCCAGACGTGAATGTATTTATTGATTGTATGGGAATCTGACTACAGTCGGTAGATTCTATAACAGCCACGTTATTTGACATTTCGTCAGAAGCTGAGGAAACCGTGGCTGCGAGACCGCAATTGGCCTCATTTTGACAATACTACATCTTATTTTTTGAAACTTTCTTCATATCTGTGATGTATTGTGTAACACTCAAGTTCCAAATACCATAAAAAAAAATCCGAAAAAAGTAATACATAGTTGATAAGTAGGTCACAGTGACCAGGTTATGTATGGCTTAATTATGTCGGCACTTTATTTTGTCTATGTTGTGCCTTAATACATACAAGAAACTTACAATAATCTTACCAAATTGTATTTATAAGTTTCTTAGCCAAATCTCAAGAAATAGGGGTCCAAGTGTAAATGGGGAATAACATTGTTATTTACATGTTATTACTTTGTTGTTTCTTACAAAAAATACACACAACTGTTATATTAATTAAGACATACATCTGAATTTTAGGTATATTAGACCAGAATATAAACCAACGTATTTGAATACCTATATTTTGATATACAACAAGTAGGTGTACTTGACTGTGATATGTTTTGATCAAATTCAGATTAACTTATAAAGCAATTATAAATTATTGAAGTAAATGAATG